TTTTTTTACCTCTGTAATCTTTAGCAAATAAATATCCATTATTATATGGTACATTCAAATTTTGTGATTAAAATTAACTTGTTGCATTCAAAATCACTGATTCTCTTTTATGCCATCTCTTTTATTTTTCATTCATTTAGACAAAATAGTGAAGAATTTGATCATTTGATCATTCATTATCAGTAATCAGCCATAATCTGAAAATGATTATTGGCTTGTCAAATTCCAGATTTTAAAGCATCATAACTGTAGGTGGGCCAACGAGTGCTTTTAGTGAATTCAAACCATTGGGAATGATTAAAAATCACTGTATCTAATCAATCTATAACACTTACCCCCTCCGCAGGTGACAGAGCAGGGGAAGAAGTCAGTTTCCCTCCACTGGTAGCGAATAGGCTGGTAAAACATGAACTGCATCACTGTGTCTTTAAGGCCAGCGTACTTCACCTGGGGAGAACCCAAATTCACTTATAATGTTTACTTAAAAGTAATGCCGTTTACTTTTAATAGCCATATTCCTAATCACATCTCAAAAAATGAGAAGCATTATCAGATAAAAGCGCATTCATTTTTAAAAACCAAATGATTTTGACATGTATAATAAGCAGCAAATTTACTCAAGGGGTCCACAGTCCAACTCATGTCATAATTTCCATATAAAACACAGCATGCATCATCTGCCACTGAATATCCTCTAGTCTTGATTTCTGGGACTGTGATGATTAGTTAAATACTGTTTGCGTGATGCTGCAATTAACTACAGTAATGAGTCATGTTCAATTACAGTAAGCCGCGGTGTCAAGACTAATCAAGAATCCTCAGGTCAAGAGATGAGAAAGTCTAACATGATTACAGTCATATTGTGCCATGTTTACATTCACATGGAGAGTAAACACTGATTCTCTCTGCTGCTTTAAACTCATCATGAAGCTTCAGTTTGCATGCAACTTTCACAGTCATTAGTATTCAATACATCTAAAAATACTACAGGTTCATGATGGAACTGCAGAGGGTTTGTGAAAATGACTGCCAAAATTAAATAAAAATAATTTTATCTACCTTTTATAAATGAAATGATATATGACCTCTGGATTTCGATTGGCAGTTTATACTTTTTTAGCAAGTAAAAGGCATATTATTATAGTTGTAAAAATTTCTCCCTTCAGGTTGTGGTTCACATGTCGTTTTGCGGTGCAATCTTTATTGATTTTTATAAAGTAAATATAAGAATAACTTATATTGTTAGCAATATTTCACTTACTGGACTGCAGCAACTTGTTTAGAAAAATCATGTTAAAATGTGAGTATCAAATATGATACATCAGGCATTTGAGGGATATTTATTTGCTCATCTCTCGATCATCACTGCATTATATATTTTGCCCACACAATAAAAATGACAGAGATTTGATATTAAAACTAAGCATGTGAATAACATCTTAGCTCTGAGCTCCATAATTTCCTATAGCATAGTATGTGAGTCATAATAGCCTGATGTATAAAATATGATACAAATGTTTTTTTTTTTTTATTTGTAATAGTTTTTTTAATAATATATATATTTTACATTTTTTATATCATTTTTTTGACTATTATTTCATGTCAGGCTTCACATAGTTAATGTATATATATATATATATTAATATATAATGCATTTTAATTATTATTTGTATAACTATAAACTTGCATTATTATTATTATAAGTCAAATCAAACCATATACATATTTATAATTATATATAATAAAAATTGGGGAAAAAAACAATCATAAAAAATAAACAATTCTCAAATCTCATTTGTAGTTTTGTCTTAAACGCATTATGAATACAACAGCAATACAACAGACCATCCCCGTTTGTTGTGTTGAAAAGAAAATAGTGGAGATTAGAATGAGTAATTGATGATAGAGGTTTCACTTTTTGTGTAACTAGTTCTCTTCTATTTTAGGGGGGTGCTTGAAGTAGATGACTTATAGGTTCAGCTGGAAACTCCAACACAACAGGAGATATCACTCCATCAAAAAACCCTCACCTTTATTGTGAAGTCTGCAGACAGTGGTCCGTAGCAGCGGAGCGTCTGTCTGTCTGCTCCTCTCTGGTACTCCACCGTGTTGTTATACAGAGTGTGAGGACCTGAAGAGCTGAACACCACCTCTTCTCGCCTGCTGTTTGGTGCATGAGCTTCAATCACTGAAATATGACATTTAAGGTTCTATGAGTGATTATGCGGGATTACCACACAAAGTATTGCTACTACGACAGATACTGCTGAAACAGGTGTCCTGAGAAACCACACTTGTCTCTGAGACAGTGCTAACTGTCAGTGGAGCGGTTCACACTTTACTCTATCACTCTGCATGTTGGGGTTGGCTGACATGTCTTTGGAAGGGTAGGGATTTAGATAGAGGTTGTGCGGTTGAAGCGGTCAGTGTCTGACAGAAGTTGAACAGATGAAATCGCCTACAACTCTTTTAAAAACTAAAATCTCACATAGGTCTTTTCAGTTAATGAAGTTACACCACTGACTCCATTACTGAAATGACTCAATGATAAGATTTTGGGTCTTTTTGCCACTTTTTAATGAAAGAGTTGAAGAGCTGAAGGAGGACAGGAAATATGGAGTATTAAATCATATTGTTTACAAATTTCTCCAAACTAAATGGCCCCAATTTATGCATTTTTTATGTATATCTAACTACCCATTCATCTATCTACAGTATCTATCTATAGTATCTATCTATCCATCCAT